AGGTCGTAGCATAGAATGGTGTCGGAGTCCGCGTCTAATAATTTGTTTTGTATCTGCGATCGAAACTCCCATTCCAATTCCTCTGGACACTCTGTGAAAAATTGAGCGTCGACGATGGTTATCCGCTTCAGATGATTTACTTCCGCGGGGGGGGGAAAAAATCGAGTTGTTGGCCGGCGATTCGAACACGGATCTTTTGTTTTGCCGGACGACTGCTTTACCAACTGTTCTACTACACGGATCGGGTCGATCGATTCCTCCTACCCGAACGTAATATTCAAAAATCGCTGTCGCTTACATAGTGCTATTTATCTTCTACGAGAATCTTGCCGCGACGGTCTCCGTAGAGCCTATCAGCTCGGGGAAAAATGGGAAACGATCATGGAGGATCTCGAAGGATCGATTCGAATGCAGACCCTAGGCTGGAACATTCGTTTATTCGCCGTGAGTCGACGTAGAGTCTTCGAAGAGCCTTATCCATTTTTGTATTGCCTTCAGCTCTCTTTTGGTACCGTTTTACCGTTCCTTCGAACAACAATCTCCAAATTGGGGACGAACTGTTTTCTTCGAGACAAACTGAAATTCAAACTGATCTATACTCTTGAATCTAATCGTAGGGGTAGTTTACAATCAATAATTTTTCCCTGAACACAGTTCTATATTCGTGTTTCGAGCGCAACGATGACACAGTTAATTTAAAAAGCAAATCCAGCGACGTTTATTGACTCTGTCCGCCACAGTTTGGCACCGAGTCAGGACCCGGGAGTATCTTATCCACGGGAATCGATGTACCTCGAAAGTTACCCTTGCACAAAGTGGAGCAAAATTCCTTCCCCGGGAATTATGTACGCTTATGTGTACCTATCGCGTGCAGGCTCCGTCAGATTGATGACTTCCACGATGCACTTTCGTCGCGATCACCGAATCGAGGATTTCGTTTCCGCGCGAACCACGCTTCCGTTCCGGATGTTAATGGGAGATCGATCGAGCCCCTTTTTCGTTTCCAGGCTGGGTTAAGTTTCATCATCGACACACTGACCCCAATTTACTCTGCTCAGCAAGTTGCTCGTCCTTTGGAATGGTCTGTCCTCGGGGCGAAAGCCAACAGAACAATCGATGGTCTCGTTAGACCCAGTAATTAGTCACTATTATATTACTCTTTCCCAAATTTTATTTTATTTTCGATTCTCCTGAAAATTGGACAACACAAAAAAATATAAATACAATCCTTTTTCCATTTAACTCTTTGCCATATGACGAGTCTGACTCGTTGCAAGTTCACAATCATGAGGCCATTTATTCGTAATTAAAATGAACATATTTTTACATTCACGAGGTATTCGTTAAACATATCTATTTTTTCTCGTGGCCATTTCTTGCACGAACAAATTTAAACGAAATTAAATAGTACACGTTTGAAAAATAATTCGAAGTTGAATCGTACGTCGACGGGTTAAAATACAATTCAGGATTCAATTTTCCCAGGAAACTGTTTCCACCAAAATTTATCGAAACGTTCGACGGTCGAAAAAGGGGGGGCGGAGTAACCGGAAAACGAAAGCTTCGGAATCACGGGAGTCGGACGTTTTACGCTCGACTGGCGCGTCGCTGAGTTTCATCTTCATCCGCGAGAAGCTCCCAGCAGTTTTCCCTCCGTTGTTTTCTCTTCGTCCGTTTACCTCGACGCGATACAACCTTTTAAGAATATTCCCACCCTCCGCGGGGGATGAGACGTCCCGTCAGAATTTAATGTTCCGCGAAACGAGACTCTCCTTTATGATTACCAGTCGTAACTCCCGTAAAACGACACCGAGAATTTGGTGACAAACGCTGATAGAATGTCCTTTCGTCGAGCGAATTGTGGTTTTCCCAGCATCGATGCACTCTGGCGACCATAATTACGCGGATAAGCAAGGTCGAGACCTTCGTGAAACGTACGATAAAGATTCTCAGGCCGCCAGATTTCGTTCCTTCCAAGTCACGTTTCTTACAGACTCGTTGTCGACCATCTTGGAAACCAACCAAATTGTTTTCAGCTCAAGTACATTTTAGATTTTATCGTAAAGGAGTTCCAAGTTCCAAGTCATCGAGCTTGTTCGACTTTTAACACTTTGACTGCCACGTCACCTATATGTATATGTCAGAATTTATCACTATGATACCAGAAAAATTAATTCTCGAGTTAAGACGTCGGGGGAAATAAATTTGGATAGAATTTATAAATTGTTTTGATTTGGCAGTGGGCGTGTAAACCAATTTGATTCGAATAAGTAGCGATAAATTTGAGAAACGAGATCTTCCGAATCACCGATCGATACTCGAAATACTATTGGACCGGCCCCCGTGGCCGTTCCAATCGCGAAACTTTTCGTGGTCGCGTTTCATTTATCTCCTGCTGGCAGATGCAGCCGCACCCATTCTGCAAAAAAATTACGGCGCGCCGATAAATCTGATTTCCGGCGAAAGTTTTCTATGCGGCGGTCGTTGGCAATTTCCCGTGATTTGTGGAGAAAAAATAACCCCTCTTTTTCTCGGCTCATAATCACTGTCTCTCATCGAGTTCCCGTAGAAACTAACGGAATACCATTCATCCGGACGGACGTTGATCCTTTACAATCCCGCATAACTCTATATAACCGTCCTCTTTATTTCACTTAACAGGGGCTTTTCTAATGATATTAATGTTAAAAACGTTTAAAGTAAGACCATTCGAGCAACTGTTACGTAAGATATAAGATATATCGATTCTATACCGGTCCTATAACCGTTATTTTTCGGTTATACTGGGTGTCCCGCGATAAGTGCCGTTTGATGTAGCTCCTAAACGGCAGGCGATAGAACAAAGATGAAGACGGACTTTGTCATCATTTTCTCTATGGACCGTGACGAAAAGAAATGTCTTTCCCTCGAGATTATTCCAAAGCCTTTTCGTGTTTCTTCAAACGGGATATTATCAGTCTCGCTATAAATGGTGGGATAAAAACAGAAAAATTGGTGCATCTCGACGAACGTTCGTTAACTTTTGTTAGTAAGCGTGCATCGACGAGCAAATTGCGCGGTTTAAATGTTACAAATTCGCGATTCCGTGCGCACCGGTGTCGCGGAACAGCTGAAACAGCGAGGGAGTGGTATAATTTCGGTCCGTTTCGTTCTAGAATTTCTCATGACTCTCGAACGTTAATGAGTACGCGCAGCTTCCGATATATAAAAGCGCGCGGCCATCGTGTTTGCGTTTTAAACAATATTCAACGGTAATGACGTCGCGTTTTGCGACAGAATCGATTTGCCGCGGGCGCGGAAACCTCTTCGCTTATCAGGATTGGCGAAAACGATGATGACACGTTAAAAATGCTAGCGCCCAGCCTCCCGCGCTCTAGATAGTAATTTCCGGGGAAGTCGTAACTTGTTTGCCCGCCACCGTGCGCCGGGCATTCGATTTTCAAGCTGCTGCAAAAATTATACGAAACTTCGCGCGCCTGCAAGAAAATTTCCTAAAAAAAATAAAGAAAATTTCATCTAATTTACGTTACAAGTAAATTCGTTTCACCGGATATAAATAATACAAACGAAGAGTAATTTATTTTACGAACTCGTGATTTCGCTAGAAACTTATCTATTTTTGGCGACCGATGAAATTTTATTCAGTCTATTTGAGTCGATCGAATTTCAATATCCTTTCGTTTAAGTAATTTATTTAAAGCTAAAATAAAGTCTTAGTCATTGGATGCTTCGATCCACGCACTTATTCCTACGAAGCGAAACACTTTGGACACTTTCTTCCGAACGGCACGGTCGAAGTCATAAAATGAGCGTTTCGTCGCGTCCCTTCGACGCCACGTTAATTACTCGAGCTTTACGAGTCGCGTCGAGACGGTGTAAAAGGGGATAGCACGAACCATCCCTTAGGAAGATGCTCGCGATGCAAACCGTCGGTCGATATTTTTCCTGCTCTTTTTTTTTTTATTTTTTCTTTTTTTTTCGTTCCGCTTTAACGCCGTAGCGCCGCTTTGATCTCGCCCTCTGCACGGATCCATTTATATCGCCGCGATCCACGATCGAGGGCGAGACCGGTGTCGACTGTATCTGCTCGAATATAAATAATTCATTACGCGCCCGGCATCCACTTCTATTTGTAATTCGGATCCAGCGTAATGAGGATTTCGCGAGGCGGCCGCGATTTTTGATACGCCCGCCCGGAACAACGCTACTCGTTTAGAGGCGATTCAAATTTCCCCGGCTCGTTTGAAATGCGCGAGAGCGATTTTATTGAATTTTATAAAATTTTAAACGCCGCCGAATCGACGGGACAAGTAATGGCGCGGGCAAGCATCGTTTAAATTTTGATTTAAACGTTCCCCGTCGGTATTGCTTCCGATCGTCTACTCCGAGCGTATAAATAACGGCCAAATAAGCGAGGTTACAATTTTAATTCAAACGTTTCGATCGACCTTATTCCTGGCGGTCCGTGAATACGGATCGATGGGAAAAAGTTTCGGTAAATTTGACAAACTGACGGTTCGACTATAAACTCCGACGTTGCATTTTCGCGTAAGATTTTGCCCAAGCACGGTACACGAGAGAAACGCGTGTATCTTAATTCAAAATTCCAACAAAGCGGAACTAGGAGAGAAACGTTTCTGGTGCAGAAACTGCAGGAGGTAAATTTGCGCTGTATGTGGCTCACCCATCCCATCTAGTATGCTCGTAGCCATAAACTAACCGAGCAACAAGTTCCCCGCGTCAATCGTTAGCCTACGACGAGCGGTAATTTAAAATATTTCCTGAATAAATCTGCGTCGAAATGTTCAAATGGTTATCGAGTCTGGTGGGTCGAGACTCTCGACCGGTCTCTATTGGAAATCCCCCTTTCGCGATTCCAGGCGACAGAAACAAAGAAGCCCTCGTGGCCGTGTCATCCGATCGTTCGATTCGGTGCGATAATCGCTGATATTTCCACGTGTTCTCACGCGGAGCCGTCGACGGGCGACTTTTTTCCACAGATCGGCTGCACCGCATGGGAAGGTCTTCCCGCAACTATACCATCGGCTGGGCCCTTCATCGATGATCAACCGTGCCCACGAAACCGACAGCAACGACTACGACCACGACTTCGACAGCGACAACGACGATCCGGTAATCGTAATCGACGATGCAAGAAACGGGAGATCGAACGATGATTTTCGATTCGTAAACCCTCCGGTTCCGTACTGGCCGGTTGCCACGAAGGAACGACGAAATCGCTCAAAACGGTTCGAGAAGTATAGAAAATTAATAGAGAAAACATGGGTCAGAGAATGAATTTTTAGACGTTTTTGTAAGCTCGTGTAATTTTAACGGGCACACGTTCGCGGTTCGATCGAGTGGGAGACGATTCTGCGTCTAAAAGTACGTGGAATATTTGCTGTGAAATTTATGTTGAATTTTCGGGGAGACCGCGTCCGACCATATCTCGATATTACTACTTGGAATGTTAGTGAACGTCGGTGGCGTCATTTTCCTGGCAATTTTTACATCTTTTGACTCGTTTTTGTCATTTTAGCGGTCTTCCCGTTCGACACGGATTCAATTTTATTTTCGAACAAAGTTCTTCGGGGACTGTTTTTGTCAATTCGTTGATAATCGAACGCCATCGATTACTTTTTCACGCGGTCGAGTTCCGCGGTTTCGGTTTCGAAAACAGCCTAGCCGTTCCGTCGGCGCTTCCGGTTTCCCTTCCCAGCGCATTCAGCCCGCCCGGAAGTGTCTCGTTTTCGCTACCGGACGCCGCGAAACCCGCTGAATCGCACCTGACCGCTTCCTGCCGCGCGACCAGTACCCTCGCCTCGTCTCTCTTCGCAGGCCACCGCGCTTAAACGTCCCCGGGGTTCCGATACTTTTGTTATTTTTATTCCCATCCGTCTCATCTTGGGTGTTGCCAGCTTCAAAGAGCATAAATCGAGCAGAAAGCCTTTCTTTACCTTGTTTTATTGCCGTGGGCGCTTCAACGCGAACGGTTGCTTTTATTCACGGTTTTATTCGTTTTTACAAAGCGAATCTAGAAATAGGAAAGGTCGCCCAAATTTTTAAAAATACATTCAAATATATTTACCGATTATCCGATGGTAAAAATATTTTAGTTTTAAATTTGACTCAAAGATTTGGTTCAATGTGAGACGCGTTTTCGTCGTAATTCCTCCGGCGTTTATTTTATGCTAAACGCGGGGATTAACTCCTCGATACGTCCGTGAAATCCAGTTTCCGTAGATGGCGTCCTCCCGGCCGAGGGGAACGTCGACGTTCACGATTGATTTGCGTCATTCAGGCGGGCAAACGAATCGTGCTCGTTCACGAGATGCGATTATTTTCCCCGTTAATCGCGTTCCCATCAGTTTTCCTCGACGCTGAAAAACGCCCGACGCTCCGGAGCCTCGGAAGATTCGAGCTGCTTCCGGTACAGGGGATCCAAATTCGCGAGGAATCGACGAGTTCGCGTTGTTACCGCCACGTCTAATTCGATCAGTTCGATATACCCACGTATCGTGTCGAGATCGATTTAAAAGAAGTTCGAAGTAGCTGTCGAAGTACAGAACAGCGCGAATCGGGTCGAAATAATATTTCGATGACTGCAGAAAAGTTTTGGTAATCATTTTTGAAGACTTTCGTAACATTTTTAATTGATATCAAGCAATCCTGTTAAACGCTACGTTTCTCGTTAGATCATTAAACTTATTTCGTACTTGGAAATTTCAAGGGATCAGAGAATTAAATTCTTCTTTGGTCGTTAATGTAAAAATCACAAATTACCGGAAAATCTTTTTCGAAAATAGCGTTCGCGTTTGACGTTTTCCACCATCGAGCCACGTGACACGGTATTACGGTGTCACGCGAAAGCTACTTCCAAACGAATTTTTCAGCGACAATAAGTGCTCGCGAGGTCGTTCAGATTTCTCACTGAAATATTATTTTTATCCGACGTCGCCCAGGGCGGCCATTCGAGGAACGGCTGACCAGGACTCTTTCGTGCAGTCGCGTCGAATATTGTCTGTAACCGAGAGAACGTTCTGAGAGGATGGGATTGGACGAAAGGGTGGGAGAGAATGCGGGGGAGAACGTGATATAGACGGAATCATTTCTGTCGCCTTTGTCGTTTTAAAACGCGCCTCGCCGCGAAAACCCCAAAGGAGAATTCGCAGCATCGTGAGATGCGAGGAATTTACGAGTAATATTAATATATATCGCGATCGTCACGATCTTAAGCGATCGTTACACGCTCGGAGGAAAGTTTACGAACTCGAAGACATATATTTTCTGTGCCTAATTCTGTTCCAAACGTGTCCTAAAACTATTAATCAGTAGCTATCGTATTTGCAATTCAAGTACAACTTGAATATAAGCGTCTCTCATAGCTAAGCGAGAGTTATCGTACTCCTAATCTACGTTTAATCGCGAAGCAGACCTTTATTATAGACGATCATGAACTAATGTATTTATAATTTTTACCCAACTGGAATCTAGCTCTGCCCATAATGCGGTTCTAATTCTATTCTGGCTTGAATTTACATTTCTCCTAAATTTCGGGCTTAATTTCCCATCCGACTCTTGCATGTACATTACTAAGAGAAGACCTAATTGAGGCCTATTTAATCACTGTCGTACGAGGCCTGTGCTCTTTACACTTTTCTCTGTTCCATTAATATTTCTATTCCTTCTATTTCTCTCGACAGTTTAACTCGTAAATTAATTTCCAATCCTTCAGTCGCGTTTTTAATGTCAAGGTTCGGCTATCGACTAAACGTTTTCACGGTAGTTGATGTAAATATAGTCGAATGTCGTGTGAAAACGTCGTGATTCCCTCGAACATGCTATCGCTGCTATCAAGAGAGTCTTCGTCGAGATCGTTGAACGATGTCTCGACACGAAAGGTCGCTTCTCCGTTTCGATTCGATTCAACTTTCGTCCGAGTCCCAGTCGAGCGATCGGAGACGATACTTCCTCGAAGGAGGAATTTTTTATCCACGAATCGAGTTCAACGTATCGTCCCCGATCGCCTCGCTGTAATATTCGCTGAGACGCTAACGAAACGTTCTTTTAATTAATGATTATCCTCGATCGGAGCTGGGCAAAATTCGATCGACCAACGCGAAGTATTTCGTTTTACGATCGAAACTTTTATTTTTATTTTAAAATACGAATTTTGCTCATCTCTGGCCTCGATATCCGTCTGTAAATATTGTCTTCGCTGTCGTCTTTGATAGTCCGCGACTCGCATAACGAACAGAGATCGGTAGAATTTTATTCGAACGACGAATGAACTTAAACAACATGCAGGAATTTATTCGATCGATTTTTTTATCGATTAATATATCTAATATTTTGAGTGCTAGGGAAATATGTAGCAAATAATTTTTTTAAAATATGGATCAGAGACGGTTTGGAAGGTCTTGAATTCGAATCGGGATTTTAACCAAAGGGTTGTTTATCTTTTGTCCGTTGTTCGAGAATTTTTATTTAGGTATGAATTTTGCCTGTCTCTGGTAGCAGAGAACGAATGGACGCGCGCGTGGTCGAGGCTCGCGAATAGCGGATTCGTTGCAGCGAATAGAGAATGAGTGAAAACTAGCGACGCGTGTTTCGCGTGTGTCCTGATCACAGGTACGATATCGTTAGAGCGAAAAAGAAGAATGGGTGGCGCAGACTAATTAGAAAAATGGCATTGTAATCATTCGTCTCGCTCGCGGCCTTTTGAATACGCGTTCCTCTTGTAATCACGAGCTCGCATATGCACTCTGTCGCACGACGCGTATCGCGTATCTACCTATCGAAACTAAAAATGCACGCGCACGATCGAAACTTTGCTGCTAGACTTACATTGTAACGCGAAGTTTAAATAAACTATGGAAAAACGCAACATTCCCACGGTACATCTTTCACTGGCTCCTTGGATTCTATCATTTTTCCATACTTCGATCCTTATTATTCTCTCAATTTATATCTCCTAAAGGTCAGGCTATGTAAATCCTGCTACAAGAAAATCGAGTTTATTTTTATCACAATTTTGGGGAGTTTGATGTGCGTGTATTGACCCAGTACCGACAGGAAACAAGTATTCTCGTTTTACAGGTGTGTGTGTTCTTCTAGAAATTTCTCCGATAACACAAGAGAAAAAATTTAATATATGCATATAACTCCTGAAAATTTCAATAAGATATATTAACTACAAAAATATTACATTTTTATTAACACTAAACCTATCGCGACTGGTCGAATGATCGTTTTTAAAATTTTGTTATTGGAAGCTCTAAACCTTCCCCTTTAAAATGGCTTTTGGTTTTTGACGATCCGACTTTCCGTTTTCGAGATATCGTAATTTATATAAAGGGATAATTATTTAGTTTCCACTATCTCACTGCCCGGCTTACGTACAATAGCCTATTCACGCCTATTGAAAATACTAAAACTTTAGACGCGTGCAGTTCCGAAACTATTAGTGTTTTATTAATTATCAAGGCATTGTTAGCGGCGGTGAAGCTTCCTCTTTAAAATGCTTTTTGGTTTTTGACGATCGGACTTTCCGTTTTCGAGATATCGTAATTTATGTAAAAGGGTATTTTTCTTAATTTGACTATCTCTGTCTCCGTCTGTCGCGTCGCGCTGGACCTCTTTGTCGCACGTGTCTCGTGACCGAGTTGGCCGAGTGACCTAGTTTCTCCGAGTCACGTGCGGTCAATGACCTTGACAAGGCCGTAGTAAACAAACGCCTCGGTCCCTCGTATCTCCGAAACTAGCCACCGCATCGACTTGAAACTAAAATCGCTATATCTCCGGAACTAATAAAGCTATCGACTCGTTCGAACGCTCATTTTAAAGGGCATTTCATCCCCTATCCGATGACCTTATCAACTATTCCAATTTATCCTCCCTTCTATGTTTAATTTCACATTTACTTTGACGTTATATACCCAAAGAAGATTCAGTTCCTTTTCTTAAATCGTTGTTTTCTCTAGAACTAACCACGGTATCGATTTGAAACAAAATTCGTTTTCAAGGGTGTTTTATCCTCTATCCGATGAAAATTAAAAAAATTATCAACATAAAAGCCAAGGATATCTCTCGAATAAACATCAAAACACAACTTTTTATAGATATAATGCAAAAATTAGAAGCACGTTGCCTCGTAAAAGAGAAAAGACTGGTCATTTGAACGATCATGGTAGGAATGGGTATACCGATAGGTTTAGTGTTAAAATCACCCGTATGGGAAAGTTCTAATAAAAATGCCCCGTCTCGGGTAGTTTTGTCTCGTCACGGCGCGTAGTTCGACAAGTTTGGGAAATCCAGTTGCGAACGGATGCATGGACGTTCCGTTGAATGCAGTCGTTTGCAGACGCGCATTCACCGCCACGCAGACCATTCATCGACGGCGCCAGGAAACGGGGCCGGGCCGAGAAGGACGTCTTATCGCGCGACAAAGCGTCTAATCCGCATACCGATTTCCGGGCCGGTAGTTCCGACTCCTAAATCCGTCCTCCGCCCGAATATATCCGACTTAACGATCGCAGATTATTGAATGCAAATTGATTCCCGAGTCGCTACCGGATTCGGGCGTCTCCCGAATTCCCCTGCCCCGGCCGGGATCCACAGCTGTGCCTGCGATTGCACAGGTGGTTCCCTCGTAAGTATCGCCCCCTCGTCTTTGGAATTTACGCGGTAACGTTACGCCGTAGATTTTCTCCTACGTGCACGACACGCGGGGATTCGTTGTTCCGTCCCGTTTAGATAACTACGCGTTCCGTGGGAAACGTTAGATTGCTGTTCCTTCTGTCTCGCCGTACGTCCCATTAAATATACAGGGTATTCGGCGACTAATGGTGATTGTACGGAATAAAACGAAATTGTGTCTCAAATCAAGAGTATTGCAATTAAGAAATGTTCCTTTGTTTCGAGATACCTTGGAATTATTTTTTCGTCGCGAAATGAAAGTTGTCGACGAGTCAAATTATACAGAGCCTTCGATGACTAAAATTTGTATACCATAAAATTAAGAGTATTGAAATTGCGTTGGAAATGAAGAGATCCTTCTGTACCTCTGTGTCCTTGGGAGTTCAATGAATTCTAAACCCGAGACGTAGGACCTTTTCTCTGTAGTATAGTCTCTTATATAACTAATTAACTAGGTTTTGTATGAGTGGTTGTGTACAGAGGGTACACAAAGGATACGTAAACACGGGAAGCGAGGAAAGGACGGCGCAGGTAAGGAAAGCAATAAAATTCGCGTGCACGGGTCTGTGTTTCTGATTGGTCGGGCTCTCTCTGTCTATCACAATTCCGTTTTGACCCGACAGGCAGTCAAGCGGCACCAAGTATACCGAATACATCGCGTAAAACAACTTGGTGTCGAGTTTGGACAACAAATCTTCCCCTGTTTCTTTAAATATTCATTTAAATAAGCTACTAAAACGAGCTGGTCTTTAAAAGAAACGGGATAGTAGTATTTCAGTAATAAATACAATTATATATACATATATATATATATTTATTAAATTCTTCTGGACTTATATTCCCTTTAGAACCATATAAATATTGATCATATTCTCCAGTGCTAATTCGAATTTCTTGATAAAAGAAACTAGAAAATTTGTTATCCAACCACATAAACGGACTCGAAATAGCAGCCCAGCCTTTAGTGACGATCGTATGCGTATGTTTTCTAGTATGTGTGCGTGTGATCGTGTGTCTAGGATTTACACAGCGTCCAAAGGCCACATCTGTCAAGCCCAACTGTTCCACGCCTCGGAAACCAAGCCTCTTCGAAGCAGTAAGTAACTTTTGTTTATTTCTCTGTTTTAACATACACCTGGTGAACCGATCCTTTAAACATGCAATTTGTTCCAGAAGAGATTTAGCTCCCCAATCTCGAAAATCATGCCAGGTTAATCGTGCGCCGTTACACACGATTCGAAGTTGCCCCAGAGTGTTATTCGCGTGATTAATTTCATTGATCATCGTCTCGTGCACCTTCGGGTGCAGTCTCCCAGCGAGTCAGGCCATTTTCTCGACAATCCCCCGCAAGCACATCTTCGTAATTTCCGTGGATCTCGAAGTTAGCGATTCTCTTAATTACCGTACGCGCGTGGATATTTTCACAGCGAAAGTTTCGTTTTCGCCGGGTCGATGACGAATCTAATGATTCCGCGACGCTCGTCTTGACTTGCCCGTCCGGTTGCTGAAAATTCCACCCCGATAGAAACTTCTTAACGAGACGAACGCGAAATAAGTAATCGCGGGGAGGGACTAGCCCCCTGGGAAATTCTACAACGAGATATGCAAATTCAGAGTGTTCCTAGGGAGCGCCCAGGGGGCTCGAAGCCAGTGCTCCGCCACTGTTGCGGTTGATGCTGAGCATTATTGAGGCAATTAGTCGATCGAATGATTCTTGGCACTTTGAAGCAACTCCGGATTACGCAGATATTTGTAACATCCTGTTTATATTCGCCGGAGTTTACCAGGAATTTGTTCCAATATTATTCGAACGCAAAGAAAACAAACAGAAAATTGATCGTGTCGGATTAAAATCTTCAATATTTAATTTTACGTTTCTATTCGCGAGGAACATTGTTGCAATATAAAAGTATAAAGCGATAAGAATTTAATCTTGTTCAATGATGGTAGGTAGGGTCCGTGTACGAACAGTGAAATTCCAGAGTAAAGCGTGAATTATTACGACTGGTGCCAGTTGAATTTAATAAAAATAAAAAAGGGGGATACTGTTGCCGTATTTTCTGCGCCGTTGGACGTGGTTTATACTCGCCTTGATATCCTTATAGACATGGAAATTTCCTCTGTGAAATGCAAATTAGGCAACGCGCCGTGGACCCTGAATATTCAGCTAATTCGATTTTTTAGAGCATTAAGCTTGCACGAAACTTCTACTTGCTTTACAAAAGTGGATTAACATCTCGCCCAGATGCCACGAACTGCAAACATTCCCCGAGCACGTGAATTTTTACCCGGCGTATCTGATCTTCGAAACAAATGGGGGCCGTAGGAATACGTTCGTTGAATCAACGAACCAAAAAACCAACACCATTATTTATCGATATTGATCTAAGCTCTAAAAATGTAGGCTATTTTTGCTCCCATTCTTTCCAACGTGTCTCCATTTCGTACGACCGTAGAAAACAGATTTTAAAAAATATTAAATTGAAAATTCACTAAAATATCTGTTCTTTCCTCTGTTTTCTGTATTTTTAAACATCCAAAATTTTAATAATTTTCCAAACGATCGTGCCTGTAATAGGAAAAATCCTTTTGGTTTTCGCGAAGAGTATTTTCTCCATCGTCGTGTGGCTGTTTGTTCGTTTCCACGGTGCGTCGGTGGCTGCAAAAAAAGGGGGAAAGCACCGCCACATTCCATTAATATTCCTCGCGGTGGCCGGTAGCCTCTCGTGGACTCCGATGCGGATAAGAATCTTGAAAAAAAATTTCATCAGATACCGGTGGCCGGTATTGCTCGGGTACTCCAGCGTCGTTCTGTCGTCCGTTTTACCACGCTGTGTGTTCTCCAGATCGTGTACATGCTCCGGGAGCCATGCTTCAGATACACAGGAAGCCATTGCGTCCTTTTACACCGCGCTAAGCGGTTATTTTCCAATCTGTTCGCCGATACGGTATTGGCTTTATTGCGTTTTCCACGGTTCTCCTCGTCGTTGTCCCCCCTTCGACTCTGTTTTTCTACCAGCGTTCTTGCCCCGTTTCACACGTGTCTTCGTTCCCGTTGTGCCCTTATTGTCGCTTTAAAAAAACTCCATCTTGGCCGCGAAAACCATCCAAACGACCTTCCTTGAAACAGCAAATTAAGAGTAGCGATCGTGCTCGAGGTTTCTCTATGTTTTCCGGAAAATTA